GGGCCCTTTCAAATGGAAGGGAATCCTCCGTTTGCGAAGAAGTCCCCAGGAAAGAATAGAAATATGTCCAGTAGTGATAGATTCCCTGTAAAACTAATACATATATCAACAAATAGTAAGCAAATGGAAGGGAAAGGGAACCCAAGCAACCTGTCGGAGATTGGGCGTGCTGAAAAAGGAAACAAAAGGAACATGCGGGGGGAGGGGGGTTGTTTTGATGAAAAGGGAACGGGGAAAAAGAGAAACCAGAGGAATTTTGCAGGGGATTGCGGGCACCTGGCGTCTCCATGACCCTTGAATAATATCATTCCCAAAACTAAGGAGTCATGGGCCTATCCGCCGACATTGCTCGGCGTGTCGGATACTTACTAGAGGATAGAGGATAACCCCCCCCCTAACCCCCCCCCGCCCGACGTCTATTACGTAGGTTTTTTGGGGGGGGGGGGGTCCCCCACGTACCGCGCGGCAATTTGATGACGTTCCACTAAACGTAGTCTTCGGGGAGCCGGTGTCGCAAAACAGGGGTCCCAGGCTCGATTCCCCCTGCCGGCTTTTTTGCTGGCTTGGGCTTCCTGCATCCTTTTGCCGAAAATCTGGAAAAACTCAATGTTTTTGGACGTCCTCTTTGCGAAAACGCTGGAAAAACCGTGTTTTTTTTGCGGGAAATACTGGGGAGCAAAGGGGAAGTGCAAGGATACATACATACATACATACATACATACATACATACATACATACATTACATTACATACATACATGACATTACATACATACATTACATACATACATACATGCATACATGTATGTAAGCATGCATGCATGCATGCATGCATGCATGCACACATACATACATACGTACATACATTACATGCATTACATTACTTACTTACTTACTTACTTACTTACTTACTTACTTACTTACTTACTTACTTACTTACTTACTACACTTACATACATACATACATACATACATACATACATACATACATACATACATACATACATACATACATACATACATACATACATACATACATACATACATACATACATACATACATACATACATACATACATACATACATACATACATACATACATACATACATACATACATACATACATACATACATACATACATACATACATACATACATACATACATACATACATACATACATACATACATACATACATACATACATACATACATACACATACATACATACATACATACATACATACATACATACATACATACATACATACATACATACATACATACATACATACATACATACATACATACATACATACATACATACATACATACATACATACATACATACATACATACATACATACATACATACATACATACATACATACATACATACATACATACATACATACATACATACATACATACATACATACATACATTACATTACATTACATTACATTACATTACATTACATTACATTACATTACATTACATACATTACATACATACATACATACATACATACATACATACATACATACATACATACATACATACATACATACATACATACATACATACATACATACATACATACATACATACATACATACATACATACATACATACATACATACATACATACATACATACATACATACATACATACATACATACATTACATACATACATACATACATACATACATACATACATACATACATACATACATACATTACATACATACATACATACATACATACATACATACATACATACATACATACATTACATACATTACATTACATTACATTACATACATACATACATACATTACATTACATACATACATACATACATACATACATACATACATACATACATACATACATACATACATACATACATACATACATACATACATACATACATACATACATACATACATACATACATACATACATACATACATACATACATACATACATACATACATACATTACATACATACATACATACATACATTACATTACATACATACATTACATTACATTACATTACATACATTACATTACATTACATTACATTACATTACATTACATTACATTACATTACATTACATTACATTACATTACATTACATTACATTACATTACATACATACATACATACATTACATTACATTACATACATTACATTACATTACATTACATTACATTACATTACATTACATTACATTACATTACATACATTACATACATTACATTACATACATACATACATACATACATACATACATACATACATACATACATACATACATACATACATACATACATACATACATACATACATACATACATACATACATACATACATACATACATACATACATACATACATACATACATACATACATACATACATACATTACACACACTTACACACATTACTTACTTACATACATACATACACATACATGCATACATGCATACATACATACATGCATACATACATACATACATACATACATACATACATACATACATACATACATACATACATACATACATACATACATACATACATACATACATACATACATACATACATACATACATACATACATACATACATACATACATACATACATACATACATACATACATACATACATACATACATACATACATACATACATACATACATACATACATACATACATACATACATACATACATACATACATACATACATACATACATACATACATACATACATACATACATACATACATACATACATACATACATACATACATACATACATACATACATACATACATACATACATACATACATACATACATACATACATACATACATACATACATACATACATACATACATACATACATACATTACATACATACATACATACATACATACATACATACATACATACATACATACATACATACATACATACATACATACATACATACATACATACATACATACATACATACATACATACATACATACATACATACATACATACATACATACATACATACATACATACATACATACATACATACATACATACATACATACATACATACATACATACATACATACATACATACATACATACATACATACATACATACATACATACATACATACATACATACATACATACATACATACATACATACATACATACATACATACATACATACATACATACATACATACATACATACATACATACATACATACATACATACATACATACATACATTACATACATACATACATACATACATTACATACATACATTACATACATACATACATACATACATACATACATACATACATACATACATACATACATACATACATACATACATACATACATACATACATACATACATACATACATACATACATACATACATACATACATACATACATACATACATACATACATACATACATACATACATACATACATACATACATACATACATACATACATACATACATACATACATACATACATACATACATACATACATACATACATACATACATATGTACATGCATGCATACATACGAGAGAGGGAGAGTGGGGAGAGAGAGGCTTGGGGGGATGGGGAGGATGGGAGCAGAGGGAGGGAGAGAGGACGACAGACCACACAAGGGAGACAAGGAAGAGAGGAAGAAGGAGAAAAGGGAGAGGACAATGTCGGCGGACTGAGCCGGAGGCTCTAAAGTTTTCAAAGGGTGGAAACTCCAGGAAGCTGGAAAAAGAACAGTTAGTGGGTAGAGCGTGGAACTGAGGAGCATCCGTTGTTGCCAGAACTCACTGAATGCAGGTTCATCGTTTGTATGCACTTGACGTTGGTAATTCGGGAGGCGCCATGTATAGGAACGCGTTGCCACCAATCCGCCGTGCTTAATGCTCAACCTGAAACGCACATCTTCACACGACTTGGGACCCGATCCGTACCGTGTCACAGAAATTGGCAAGCGACGAACTTGCTGAGTTTGGGCCAACAGAGTCGAGTTGTGTGAAATGTGGGTTTGTCTCTGGACAGGGGACCCCCCCTCAATGGCTGGCTGCCTTTCATTTTCCTTTAGAACCAACCAGCAGGGTTCCGAACAAGACAGAGTTGCTGACAGCTCGTGCCTGCTTTAGAGCCTCCTCTGTTGCAGCATCCGCATCCATGGCGAGCAACCCGACATGTGCGACTCTCCCCTCGCTGGCTTTGTTGGAGACTGATCCCTGCACCTCCTTGACCCCGAGACAATAAGCACATCCCCCGCAAAAAAAAAGCAGAAAGCAGTGGCGAAGTCGCATCAAACGAATCAAATGCAAGGACTGGACGACAAACTCATACGATGAGAACAAACTATTGAACACTGCACCCACAGCAACCTGCTGCCGAAACCACCCACGCTGTGATGTCCCAGTTTCGTGCACATGATCACAAAAACGTCTGACCGTGAGTTACAGCATGTGCAACTGACATCTTTTTACATCTGGTCCCGCTAGTCGGTGAATCGCTGTCAGCCCTTGGCCTTTGAGTCATGCCTGCTTACACTGAAGCCAAGCTCACAAGCGACCAGTCGTGAGCAGCTTGCTCTTGTGATAAATCTGGACATGAATAGGCGCAAATGTGGTGGGTTGTAGGTTTTGAGTACCATATCTTAAAGTGAAAGGTTCGAAGGTGCCCTGGCCTGAGTCTCAACGGACTGCCGAAGAACACCTGTCTGTCTCAATCATGACAACTGAGAAAGACAAAGACCCCCTGTGAATCGTTTCGTAGTTGCTCAGTGACCCTGATAGAAAGGGTGCCCCTTGTTGTGGGTTGACCATGTTTTAGTGGGAAAACACTGCACACAAAGGGATTATGAGGGTGCCACTTAGGGTTTTAAAATGTGCACGAGTGCCAAGGCCACGAAGGCTGGAAGCCGAGTTCCACACGAGTCGAAGAAGGACCTTGCAAATTGACATGCAGCGCGGACCCTTCGAGGATCATTCCACGTCATGTGCCTGTCCTGACACTAGATCTCTCATACTCTCTGATCAAATGGCTGTATTTCATTGTTCTTGATGCTACCGGTCTAGTCTCAGAGATCCGAATCGTTTACTTAAGCGCATCATCTGCGCCACTGGCAAAAATGCATAAAATGCGTTGGATCGCCGACATTTTGAGTTTTCGAATGGTCCAGGGGACACATACTGACAAGTTCGACTCGGTTCAGTACAGGCAGCACATTTGCCGGCTTTGAAGGGCAGAACAATAATCGACACTCCCACTTTTAACAAACAAAAGGAAGGAATGTCGCAGGCATCCGGGCGCGTCGTTCCAGCGGTCGTTGTTTTCGACAATGGAAGCGGCCTGACAATAGGACACAGCGTTTGCATGCCAGGGCTCGCAGGAAGATGGGCAAGGAATATGTATAACCCCGCAGGACCTGGGAATAAAAAGCTAACCTCCTTGACGAAACATAGACCAGAAAGGGACACCCAAAAGGTTAAACGGTCAGCTGGACAATTGCATTCCACTTGCAATAAACTCTGGCCAAACAGAAAGAACAGCGTGACTGCACGCCCGCGTTGCAGTCTTGCTGGCTTTCTCACGTTTTGCCCTGCAAGCCACATGTTTGCTTGGTTGCACATTGAGTGTGTTCAACAGAAGATTAGTCTGTCAAAATTGTGTCGGCAAAGTTTATGTTTGTGTTTATGAGGCTTGAACAGATTGAGCCAATCCGGCGCAAGGAGGTTGAAGGACTAGCCCCTGCCCAACAACACAATGCCTGATTTAACTTCGGCTTGAACGGCTGGTGACCATCCAACCTATGAACAGGGTGCCCATTGGGTTGCCATCGCAAGACCTTCGCGTGCTAGATGTATCATCAGCATTTATGTCATTTGCGTGTGTGCGATTGGTTTAGGGTCGGGCATGAGACCAAAGCCACTACCCAATCACCTTTCGCAGCTCGCAGAGGGGTCGAGCGTCCCAAAGCAAGGCAGTGTTTAGTGCTGCGCATGCTGTCCGCAAATAAGCGGTGCCCAAAGATACCTTCACAGCCACTTTGTCATAAGGCCGGCTAAAATAAGCCTGCTCAATAAAACTGATGCCAACCATCCTTTAGAAACTTCGCTTGGAACCACAGAGTCTCCGATTGTGCAAGTCGAAGGAATTTTCCTTTGCTGCCAGGCTCTCCATTGGTTCGCTTTGCTTTGGGAAGCCAATCCGACTGCCATTTGCATGGACATGCTTTTCAGGAGGACCCTCATGCAAGAATGCCGTCTGAATCTAACAGCTCGGAGCTTCGACCGGGCCGAGGCTTTGTCTGACTCACCATTCGAGCTGCCTGCCGCAGGAGTGCCGCGGCAGCCAGGGCACGCATGGCTCCTGGGCTCAACATTTCTGCCGCAGTGTTGATTCTCAAGGGAAACAACGAAAACACTGCAGGTCTTGGCCAACATCCCTGACAATTTATCCATGAAGGCTCCTAGCTTGGCCGTCGGCAAGATATCCTTGCCATGTGCGCGGAAGCATCTTGAAGCTTTTTCCACAGGGCCCCTTGTGAAGGGTGACTCCAAGCAGCGCACCACTTTCCTTTTGGTTTCCCATGAACAACCCGACGGCGCGCACACACACAAACAATCACAACCCCGCGCGTACACACAACCGAAACCATAACCACAGGCACGCGCACTTAGACTTTCGAGGGAGAAAGCCAACCAATGCCGAGTCAACGCATCGAGTGTCAAATATGCATATGCCATTTCGAGTACGTATAGTCAAGGTCAAGCTGGCTTCCCTTTACCCTGTTGAACAAAGGAAAGTGAGCAGCAACAGCGATTCAGGGAGGGGACCAACAGGACCTTCTGGAAACATCACCGTTCCTCAGAGCTATCACCTGGTGTCTTCGTTGGTGCGAGACCGGATGTGCTGCTTGCACCGCCTGCAAAAGGCAAGTAGTTCCAGGGCAAGACTGGAACTCGGCACACACGCACACGCAAATGAAAACGCAAACACAACCACAAGCAGAAACCACCAACACACCAACACACATACAACAGCAACACGCACAAACACCACTCACACAAAGCCACTCACACAAAGCCAAAACACAAACACTAACAACACCAACACAAACACAAGCACAAACACATTCCTGAAGCAACACATGGATCTTTGGCGCTCTCTACAGGTAGGCCCGCGGCTGATTCGCTCTCGGGTTTGAAGCTCAAAGCCGCCGGGGGGGATGCGCCCTTGAGCCAACTTCAATCAAATAACGCGACTCCATGAGTGATCAACTGGCTGATTCGTATGGGTGCCAAGGGGATCCTTCACGCTTGCAAACACTGTTTCCAATTTGATTAAACCGCGGTCCTGTTTGGTCCTGTTGCGAAGAGGTGAGGTCAACGGGAGTCAGCCAAAGGAAAAAAATCCAAAGGACACTGTGCCATACCTCACCACTGGAATGCCTCCTGTTTGATTGGATACGGCGTGATTCAGTGTGCTCCCTGCTCTCCTCGCGCTGAAGCTGGCCTGATGAAACCTCTCCCGGACGAGACTTCCCTGTTCTACACTTGCTGGCCTGCAGCCGTCAGATCAACAATATGTTTGCGAGCAAGAACGGATCATAGCCTCAGCTCTTGCTTGGTCTTGCTTGGTCTTGCTTGCTGGATTGTCTTTTGCGAAGCGAAGCTTGGTTCAAGGCGAATGTTTGCGGCAGCCCCATGGAGACACCTCCCGGCACATGCTAAGGCGCTAGGTCACGTGCATCCAAAACCATCTGGCTCCAGTGTGGCAGCTCCAGTCTGAGTCAACTCCCCAACTTGTTTGCTCGCAATTCCTTCTGAAGCCTGACCCTACCCTAAAGTCTCGTGAAGACATCTGCTTCATGAGAGGGAGGATGCAACATGTGCATCAATTTTCAACCGCAGCAAACGCCTCTCAAATACATACACGCAAGGACGAGAGCATAGATTTATCAATGTGTGCAAAGGTAACGTTACAAGGCACGCAGGCTGTAACTGCATAGCTTCTGATGACATCCTCCGATACTTTAAGACAATCCGTCATCTGCACATGCACATCGCTGCTTGCGTTGCGCTATGTGCTTTGCGCGCTCAAGGGTCAGCAGACTTCCTAATCGCTCGCCTGCGCGGAATTTCAGCTGAAAACAAGGCTTGAGTCTAAAGTCCCCAAAACATTTATGCAGCTGGTGGTAGTGACTGTAGATGCTGGCTAAACAAGCTATGCCACTTGCCATGTCAGGGAAGCTGTGGGGCGCCCGCCAAATTCAAGCCGAAGCAGCAACGTAGACAGAATGCGCACATGTCTAGGTGACAAATGAAAACGTGTATGGCTTCTATTTTCCCAAATATAGTGTTTTCTTGCCGTGAAGCGTGCCTGGGCCAAGGGTTGCAATTGGCCATGCCGTTGCTGTGTCGATAGCTTGGACACATCCGTGACACTTTACGAGGCCAGCAATGCGTCTTTTGACCGGCAACATTGGGTCAGAAAAGTGGCCTCGGGTGATGCCAGTGGACCTTGCAATCTGCCATTGTTCCAAAAATCATAGAAGTGGACAACGGTCGGCCAATTCAAGAGCAACGGTTGACTTCCCAAAACCCTCGTGTAAGCTTCCATGTTGGAAAAAAAGGGTGTGATGTGGATTGCAGCGGGCCAGGTCACAACCATGTGATCCGACTTTTGCGCTCCACTGAACGCATGCATCGTTGCTGGCCTTCGCTGTACCACTTAAGCCACAGTCAATACATGCTGCTAGTCCACTGGACATGGGCAATTAAAGAGTTCTCGCAAATTTGTGCTAAACTTGGAGCTCCTCGTGTCCCTCCCATATGTGTATTCATATGGACCCTGGACAACTAGATGCTTGTTTGACCGAACCTCACTTGAAAAACATCCAGTCTTCGGCAAAGGACTCTTGTACCCCTAGCTTCCAACTCTTCAACTATCATCCATCATTGGGATCAATTTGGGGAGCCAAGAATCTTCATGCAAACGTGCTCCTACCAGGCTCCGGGGAAGCAAAGGCTTAAAGGGGAAAATCTTAACAACTCTTCCCAAGTAATGTAATTGGTATGAACTCTTTAGCCCGAACCTCGCGAGAACTCTCCGTCAACCGCAGCTCCACCCCTCTGCAGCCGCAAAGCTGGATTTGCTTTAAACCAACAAAATCGTTCCTGGAACTATGACACACTTTTACCCCTTTCAGAGATTCTGAACTTTCAACCTATACCAGTCAAACACCATCATTGCCTTTGTTGGAGAAGCTAGCCAAACATCCCACTAGCCGGCCTTATAGTGGCAGGGTCATTAGACCAACATTGCAGGTGCTTTCGCACACCAGCATGCAGAACTGCTTGCCGCCTAGAATATATATGTTGATATAGTGTGTTTGAAACGGCAAAGCGCCCTACTGTAATCAAGTTGTGATGGATCCCGGCTCCTGCTGTCCATCAGCCCGATTGAAGTTAAACAAAGTACAGCCCTGCCGGGCCTCCCCATAGTTTACGCTCAGCTGCTTTCATTGTGACTAACATGGCAGGAGGGAAACGGACAGACCAGGACCAGAGTCCCTAGTCAGGTTCCATGGGTGCACCCCCCCACCCAAAAACAGTTTCCCTTTGAACCTCCTTTTCACCCCCCCCCCCCCGAAAAGGGCCCTCAAAAACATATACCAATATTAGTGGACGGGCCCAGCCCAGCCTCACTTGAGGCCGAACCCGTGGCAGTGCCTTTGCCGTGGCAGTGCCTTTCGTCGACCGATTGACTCAAAGAACCCTGGCAAACTGAAAGGATTGTTTGGCTTTTCTAGTGATGCCACTTCTACCCCAGCTATTGTCCCAAATCAAAACACACGTGAATAATTCTAGTCAGCTAGTGAACCTAAACCTCTCAGGTTTGGCCACCACAAGTTCCACTTCTCGTTCATGCAATCAACCGATTGAGATTGAGCCGCTTAGATTTGATGTGATCTATGAGGGGACTGCATCTCGTGAAGGTGCACTCTTGCAAACCAACTTTTATTCAAGGGATCGCAAGGCAGTGTTTGAGCAGTAACCACGATGATTCCTCATTTACATCGGAGAGTCACCGCATGCCTTGAACGTGCCCTTGCTCAGAAAACAGAATGCAAAGCAGCTCATTTGTGTCTTAAGAAGGTAGCCGTGATTCAAACAGTGATTACATAATATCCGGATTGTGTAGTCAACCTGCTGGATTTATTGGGGTGCTTCCTCATGGCACACCTCTTGTAGCAACCAGCGTATGATTTATCCTGGGTCAAAATACTTGCCTAAATCTGGTCAGCAATCCTGATCATATCCTCTGTAAGCCAGCAAAGCTGGGGTGGAAGTTTCCAAAATCACAAGCAGCCTATAGGAAAGCCATTTTGTTGTTCAAGGCTTCTTTGAGCAAGACAACGTCGCGTCCGACGAGTCGCGTCATACAGCAAAGTCTTGCGGCTCTCATCGGGCAAAACTGTACTTATTTTGCGCTGCAGTTCGTACTTGCAAGTTGCGATGTTTGCGCTCAGCCTGCAGCAGCGTACTTTGCGTATTACTTTGTAGCGGCAATCTGCAAGCGTGCACTTAGCGCACTAGACTTAACATACGTTTTAGGAGCCAAGCTGCGCACGGTTACTCGCTCGCTGACTGAATGACACATTGAAAAGCAACCAGTTGTGCAAAGTCGATCACCACAAACTCTGTGGGGTTGCCAGCGCATTAAAGTTGATTTTTGCCTGTTAGGATTGATGCTCAATCCTGCAAAGTCCGCCGAGTGTTCATCCGTCGCAAAACTGCCAAACGGCCACCCCAGCGTTTACGAGGCCGCGGAAAGTCCCCAAAACGGTCACTCTATGAACATTGCCAAGCTCCTTCGGCAAGACTTGAGAACCGCTTTCTGAACCGCAGAACGTTCACCATGACGCGACCGTCTGCTTTTCAGGATCGCGGCCAGTTTTGTATTGTTACATAATTGCATTGATTCCCAATCATTTACGTCTACGGCTACAGTGCGTGTAATTCAACTTTTAGTATCACGGGAAGTTCTGCAACCGAACTTCCTTTGATCGTAAATAAATCCGGGCCCGAAAAGGAAGGTCAAAGTGTTAGGCTTCCCGAAATCGGCACGCTTCAACCCCCTGCTTCTGTTGAGGGTATAAAATTGCGGCAAGCTAAAAGGTGGCGTGCCATTTGGCCATCCTCTGAGCACAGGGCTGGATAGCCAGCCGCAAGCGGGACTCCAACTTGTCCTGCGAGGCTGAGATGATACTTCCATTTGCATATATATATAATATGTATATATTTGCTATTTGGGGACCCTATGGTGCACCCTCCATTTTTAGGGTAGTCCTCGTTCAAGTTCATGCAGTTGTCATATTGCGTTTGGCGAGGAAACCAAAGGCCCCAAAGCCACCATCAGGAAGTTGGACCCCTCCAGGGGCTGTCAAAGGAATGTCAAAGGACTGCAAACCGTCCCTCAATGTCTTTCTTCGTCTCACATCATTGGGACCTGCACTGCTCAGCCGTGACCACGCATGTATGAATGCAAGGGGAACAACATGCCCAAACCAGAGCGCAACGCACACATGCGTCGTGCAAAGCGGTCCACGTCCTTTTCCAAGCTGCGACAACCCCACAAGGCATAAGCTGGAGTAAAACCTGGGCCTTCATTATGCTGCAATCGTGCTCCTGAAGTAAGTTTCCTGGTGGTGAATGTTTCAGGTGCAGCTGTGCAGCCGGGCGAGACATCGTGTTTCTCCAAAACTTAAAATCTTCCCTCAGCACATGATCCCCGAAGCAAACTCAGAAGCGTCTTGGGCCGAGCATTCCTGGCTTCCTTCAGCAAAACACCCGGGGCAAAGTTTAGGAGCCATCCGTTCAACAAGCAAAGGGGACAAGCTTGTGAGGTTCTACGCATACCCGTGATCTGCTAGCAGAACTCACAGCAGTTTCAGCTTGCATCCTTCTGGAGCTGTTAAAGCATGCTGTGTCACAGTGCTGTTTGATGAGCACTGCCAGGGATTTTGTGTTGCCTGCCGATAAACACTGACATGAACTTAATGGAGGCGATGCGCTTGCCTCAGCTGAGGCATTGCCAATCGTACATGAACCCATGTGGTCCGGGCCAGAACCAAGGGCCCGACTCGAAGTGTCCCTAGCAATGGTCAAGTTGTATAAGTCGTATAAGTTGAATACTTTCCATCCGAAAGAGAAGGGCATCACTTGAGAAATCAGGGCCTTGCGCCCCATCATGCATCCAACAACGTTGAGAAATAGCGTTTGGCAAGTCGCCACCGCCAAGATTCTTCAAACGCCAAGCTCTGTGGTTAAAGAAGACAGTTTCCTGCTACACATCGGCACGCATGTCTCTTGTGTATGTGAGGATACATGACAAGATCGACAATTGACGCAATCGATGCTTCGTTGGCTCAAGGGATTGCCTTGGAAAGTCTTTTTGCATGTCAAGGAATCTTGGGCCCTCTTTTGTCAGCTACATTGCCTCCCCTCTTGCAATCCAAGATGCACAAATAACATACGGCCATTTCCAAGTAAGGGCTTTAAACATCGGAAATTCAGCAACAAACTTCGGGAATTCTCCTGGTTTAGGCATTATTTGGGTGAACACCAGAATTAAACCACCAGGGGACCGCAGGTTGTAGTCCATACCCGGGTTCCATTTTGGGTACATATTTATGACCCACAACCATTTGGCTTGGTATTGGTTCAATCATTTTTTCCCCCAGAAGTTGAGTACTTTTTCTGGATCGATAAAAAGGTGATGCGCCAACTTTGCTGCAATTTTGCCGAAGTACTCGCCTCCAAACATTTGAGAGTTGAAGCAAACCTGTGGGATAAGATTGCGCTAGGCAATCACCGTTGAGCAACGCGGATTCTGAGATCTGAGAGGACACCTCACTTGCCCAACAGACCTTAAAATGAAAGTTTGTCCTTTCGGGACCTTGACTAAACATGTACCCAAAAAAGGGAAACTCAAAAGCTTGAATGGCCGGTTCGCTTTGGACAACTGAGACAGAAATTGAATCAGACTCTCCATTGAGAGCTGATGCTGGAGTCTGATGCTGCCACACGCCACGTGTGGCTTTGCCAAACATTTTCCACAGCGTGCGCCAGCAATCAGAAAACCGCCAGGAGCCAAACAGGGTGCGGAGGGAAAGCATAACAAGCTTTGGCGAGAACGGACATGAACCACAAGCCTATTGAGCATACGCAAAGATAATCAATGTCCAACTTGCAAGCTTGGCCCATGTGGCTTTTAAAAATGGATGGGTGTGCATGACACCACAACTTGGCATTTGTTGGCACGGTTGGGCTAAACGCCATGGCTGGAAGCCTTGCTGGATTGAACTACTGAAGAGCAATTGCGACAGAACGCCAAGGTGAAGAACTCGCTGCATTCATATTTCAGAATCAGGACAGTTCTTCGTTAATTTCAACAATCGCCGGCATACGTCGCCTGCAAATATATAGGTATACATTTTGTATATGTTTATTGTAATATACGCATGGGTTTGTAGTTGGTGGCTGGGGCAGGAAGGTTAGGTTTGAGTGCGGGGTATGATTCGCGTATGCTTCGGGGGTATTCTTCGGGGTCTGATTGGCCGGAGTATAAAAGTAGTCATAGTAGTGAAGTAGTAGTAGTAATAGTAGTAGTAGTAGCAGTAGTAGTAGTAGAAGAAGTAGTAGTAGTAGTAGTAGTAGTAGTAGCAGTAGTAGTAGTAGTAGTAGTAGTGTTGCTAACAGTAGTAGGAGGAGTGGTAGTAGCAGTAGGTAGTAGGTAGTAGTAGAAGTAGGTAGTAGGTAGTAGTAGAAGTAATAGTAGTAGGTACTTAGTAGGTCGTACGTAGTAGGTGGTAGTCGGTAGTAGTAGTAGCAGCAGTAGTAGTAGTAGTAGCAGTAGTAGTAGTAGTAGTAGTACTAGTAGTAGTACGGTAGTACTAGTAGGAGTAGGAGGAATGGTAGTAGTAGCAGTAGTAGTAGTGGTCACCGTAGTAGTACTGTCAGTAGCAACAGCAGAAGTAGTACTAGGCGTGGTAATAGTAGCAGTAGCAGTGGCAGTAGTAGAAATAGCAGTAATAATCTTGGCACTAGGCTTGGCAAGCGAAGCTCATTGTCCGGGTATCATTCGAGTGTGATTCGTCGGTTGGACTTGGCTAGCTGTGCAATTTTGATTACGAACTCAGACTGGTGAATGTAGTAGTAGTAGTAAAAGTAGTAGCAGCAGCAGTCAAAGGAAGTTTAGAAGGAACTTCCGCGGTACGGCAACTAATTGAAAGCTAGCTCTCTGAAGAGAAGGAATAAGCCCGCGAGGAAAATGCGCGCGCAGAATAGAACCTGTGCGTGAATTGGCCTCTCCAGCTGGCCTGTCCGCGGCGTCTGGTCGGAGCAGGCTCGCACGTTCGGCGCCAGGCCCATTGGCACGGCAACGCAGAGGTTTCGCAAGGTTCGAATTGCGTGGCAAGCGCAGCATTTTCGCAAGTTGAGTTGCAGATTTTCGTGGCAGGCGCAGCACTTTCGCAAGGTCAAGTTTTCTTGAGGCTTGAGTTGCGTGGCAGGCGCAGCATTTTCGCAAGTTGAGGTACACGTTTCATGGCAGGCGCAGCACTTTCGCAAGCTCAAGTGCAGGTTTCGTGGCAGGCGCAGCACTTTCGCAAGGTCAAGGAGCAGCACTTTCGCAAGGTCAAGTGCAGATTTCATGGCAGGCTCAACACTTTTGCAAGGTCAAGTACAAATTTGGTGGCAGGCGCAGCACTTTCGCAAGGTCAGGTACAGCTTTCGTGGCAAGCGCAGCGCTTTCGAAAGGTCAAGTACAGATTTCGTGGCAAGCGCAGCACTTTCGCAAGTTCAGATGCAGATAGGGAGATAGATAGACAAACAGATCGGTAGACAAATAGAAACAAATCAGACAGATAGATGGATTGATAGATAGGTGGAGAGAGAGGTAGGCAAATAGATAGATAGATAATCAGATAGATGAATCAATGAATATAATGACAGAAAGAAAGAAAGAAAGAAAGAAAGACAGAAAGATTGCAAGAAAGAAAGAAAGAAAGATAAAGAGAGAGACGGAGAGCGAGAGAGATACATAGATAGTTGATATATAGATAGATAGATAGATAGATAGATAGATAGAGACATAAGAAAGAAAGAAAGAACGAAATAAAGAAAGAATCAAAGAAAGAATCAGAGAAAGAAAGGAAGACAGAAAAAGATAGATAGATAGATAAAGAGAGAGAGAGAGAGAGAGAGAGAGAGAGAGACAGAGAGAGCGAGAGAGATGGATAGATAGATGGATGGATAGATGTAAAGATAGATAGATAGTTAGAGAAGAGACAGAAGAACGAACGGCGCAAACACAAGCAAAAGAAAAAAAGAAGAAACACCAACGAAAACAAAGAAATAAAGAAGGAAGGACGGAAGTCAGAAAGGAAGGAAGCAAAGAAAGAAAGAAAGAAAGACAGAAAGAAAGACAGAAAGAACAAAAGAAAACAGAAAACACATAGATCGATAAAGAGACAGAGAGAGAAACAAAAAACAAAAACAAAGAGCGAGATAGACAGATGGATAGATACATGAGATAGATAGATAGATAGTTAGATAGATAGATAGATGAGATGAGATGAGATGAGATGAGATAGATAGATTAGATAGAGAGAGATAGATGATAGATGGATAGGTAGATAGATCGATTAGATAGATAGATAGATGAATAGATAGATAGACAAACAGATAGATACATAGATAGATAGTTAGAGAAGAGACAGAAGAACGAACGGCGCAAAGACAAGCAAAAGAAAGAAAGAAAGAAAGAAGGAAAGAACAGAAAGAAAGAAAGAAAGGAAGAAAGAAAGAAAGAAAGAAAGAAAGAAAGAAAGAAAGAAAGAAAGAAAGAAAGAAAGAAAGAAAGAGAGAATGACAAAGCAAAAAAGAAACAGTAAAAAGGAAGATGGAGAGAACAAGAATCAAAACAAGAAAGAGGGACAGAACTATAGGTTTTACTTTCTTGAAACTTCCGCCACCGGCTTCGCCGGCTCTACTGGTAGTGGTGGTGGTAGTAGTAGTAGTGGTGGTGGTACTAGTACTAGTACTAGTACTCGTCCTAGTATTTGTTCTAGTGCTAGTAGTGGTGGTAGCAGAACCAGCATTAGTGGTAGGTAGCGCTAGTGGCGGTTGTGAAGCAGTAGACAAAACACAAAGCAAAAGACAAGTAGCAGCTGGCGGCATACGTTTA